TGCTGTGGGTCGCAGGCGACTCATGAATCAGACAATCAGCCCCTGGCCTTGTTTGGTTTTTTTCCCTGGCCTTGTTTTGACTGTTCATGTTGAGCTTCTCTATCGATTCTTTTCACACACGTGGTCAGTCTGATTCCTGTGTGTTCCATCAGCTAAAGTCCACATGTTTGTTATTGTTGTTGGCCTTCAAGTCGGAACGGACTCATAGCTGACCCTCCAGCAGTTTTTCAGAGGTTATAAAGAGCACATCCTTTTCCTGATGAGCAGTTGGGGATTCAAACAACATGCTTTTGAGATTGCAGCTTCTTACCACTAGGCTACAGTTGTTGTTGTTGTGTACCGTAGAGTTGGAACCAACCCGTGGCAGGTTTTCAGAGGCAGTTAATTGCACAGGAGGAGACTGATCATCCTTCTCCCAAGGAAGAGCTGGTGGCTTGAACCGTGTGCCTTCAGGATTGCAGCGCAGCTTCTTGCCACTAGGCCACCAGAGCTGCACCCACTACTAGCCTCCTGTCTTCCCTTCTATAGCAGAGGTTCATTTATAATACGAACATTACTCTCCTGCCAAAGCCACTGCTGTGTCCTCACTGGGACTGTCTTTGACCGTAAATAAATTTGTTTTTTAAAACTTCACATTGTGCTAAAATAGGAATTTGTTCTCTGTTCTTTCTACTTAACATACTATCTTGGAGGTGTTTCTACATTGACAAAACATCTTAGTCTATTAAGTTGCTGTTTGACGGTCTGTTTAGGATGTAATCAAATCCTTGTTTAATGAATTGCTAGGTTTTCTCGGTTAATGAGTGTAATTTGTCAGGTACTGTGAGGTGAGCACGGACTTCTAAAGAGCAGACTTCAGCAGAACCTCTGTTTGCTGTGTGACCAGGGGCTGGTGTCCTCGAGCTCTGTGGGCAGTTTCCAGTCAGCTTTTCTGTCCTTATCTGCCTCAGTGGGTTTCTGTGTTCTGGCCACACCGTGCTTTTTCACTGTTTTTCTAAGGCATTAGGCCAAGTACCTGTATCAGAGCTTAACTGTTTCCTGTGACCCCTGTGTAAGCCCTTAGACGTTTGTAAGATGGGTCTTTTTCGGCCCCGGGTAGATGTTAGCTCTACAGAGTTCTGCCGTCACCACTGTCTGTGTTCGGTTTACTTGACTGAGTGTGCATTCCCTCACGATACCATAAGCTCTTTGAGAGGAGATTTTGGCTGCTTTGTGCATGGCATGGCCACACACCCACACGGAACCATCTGGCATTTGGTGGCCTTTTAATGGTTTTGCTGGAATGGACAGAGTGGACTGCTCTGTGCTGGTGCCTTCACCTGTTCAGCGGGATTCTGAAGGAGTACTTTATGGATTTGTTTAGAGTTAAATAATGTTGACAGTGCCTTTGTAGTTCCTCCTGGGAACTCTGGTGGCCTAGTGGTAAGAAGCTCTGTTGTAATCCCGAACGCACGCAGTTCAAATCCACTGGTGGCACAGTGAGGGAAGGATGGGCAGTGTCCTCCCATGCAGTGAACTGCCTCTGAAGACCTGCGGGCGAGTCAGCTCTGGGCTGGTTCTGACTCCATGGCACATAGCGATAACAGCATTGCCATTCACATCAATTTGATCCTTAATTAATTAGAATGTCATACTTTTTGAAAAAACTTTTTAATTTTTATTTTTGTGTGAGTGTACCATCAAATCAGATCTGACTGGTACAGGAGGAGATTGTTCCTCCTTCCCCGGCAGAGCATCTGGTGGGTTCGAACCGTGAGCCTCTGGGATTGTAGAATGTCATCCTAAGTATAGTTTTGTTTTTTAATCATTTTACTTCTTGAGTGCATTTTACCTTTAAGCCCCTTGATGTGGGAAGTTGGATTTGGAGTGTTTTCATAGTTTATTTAGGTATTTTCAGATTTTTTAAATTATTAATTTCAAAGAAAATTTAGAGACTTTGGATTTCCATTCATTCATTTTTCACTTTTCTCTCCGCCCAACCCTCCTTTCCAGTACACTCGCCTCTTGGAAAAGTAAAAGAAACATTCTTTTATTGTTTTACAATCCCTCCCCCCAGATCCACTGCACTATGCAGCCTTCATTCTGGACTCGTGTCATGACAAAAATACCTAATCACATATCCCTTTTAAACAGTTTTCTCCCTCATCTGTTTCAATGGAGTGTATATTATTGAATCCATCTTTCTTTCTCTCCCCAACCCCAAGGTCAGTCCCGTTTTACAATAGTGGCACCATGCGGTATTTGTCCTTTTGTGACTGAGATATTTCACTCAGCATAATGTCCTCCAGGGTCACCCATTTTGAATAATATTGCATGAGTTCCTTGTTTTT